TGGTTGACCTGTTGTGTTTACTAGGATGCACTTTTGGAGTGAGTGGTGGTCTGCTGTAACATTTTCTTACACAAAAGTTTATAATTTTATATTTAACACCAGTACATTAACACTACTGGTGCTCTTTATCCACATGATTTGGTTATTGCCACACTTCATGACTTCACCCATTTAATCCCTTCCTATATGCATTACTGTACTATGTTTTAGTGTTACTCTATAGGTCTGTGTTGTCATGACACTAAAATATACAACACGGCTCATTGATTTTAACCAAAGATTTTTTTTGTTTCTCTCATTTGAATACAATACAGATTACAACTACGAACATACCTTCACTGACATTTTATTTATATATCACACAGTCTACTCTAACAAAGCGTTGTCAGTCTGTTTGTTTGTTTTTTATCTTAATGAGCTGAATGGAAGGACTGACTTTGCTAACTTGTGTTCATGTAAATGTAAACTTGAGTTATTTCTACCCCTAAAAACGTGTGCACTTGTGTCTGTCCCTGTACATGCTTATTTCAGCTCTAGTCTCCAGTCACACAAACAGATGTCTGGATCCCTCTGTCTGCCTTTCTCTCATTCTCTCCTTTTCGTCACATGGGCCACTGGTGTTAAGGAAAACAAGCGCTCCCATTGTGCCGCACAAAGCCCTGGATGCTGACACTGCACTTGCATGAAGCTCAGTGTAATGCGTTTGTGTGTGGGGCAGGAACTGTCTCTCTCTGTCACTAAGAGCAGGGTAGGGGCCATTTAAACAGGGTCACAGGGCAATTTTAGGGGGCATATGCAAACAAGACCAAAGACCAGCTTTACGTGGCCATACAGACACATGGAGAACCTAATGTGTTACTATTAGCCCATATCAAGTCTTTAGTTGTACATTCATAATAATTTGACCGTTTTCTCCCCATTTTAGTTACTCTTGAAAATGTAGACCAGCTACCCTTAGCAAGGCAAGGCAAGTTTATTTGTATAGCACAAATCATACACAAAGTCATTAAAATTTCTTTACAGAATAAGAAAAGCATTAAAATATACACACAATAGAAAAAAATCAAAACATAAATAATCATCATAACACACAACAACACAACCATGATTTGAATACTTGATATTTATTTGGTTTTGATTTCAAGAGCTGCAGTAACATGATGTGCCAGTCATCCTCCATTTTTAAATGCTACTATGAAAACTGCAACTCTAGAGGTTGCAGCTGTCACATGAACCTGTAGACAGACACTCAGAAAAGGTATCCTCCAAGTGACTGATCCTGCACTTTTATCACCTATAAACACACTTATTATTATTCAATTACACAGTAGTATTTTCACCAAAGACCCCACCAGTTGAGTTAGCTTTAAAGGAGAACTGCTTTCAGATGATTATTGTGTTGGTATTTTTGTCCATCTAACCATGGAAGGGTCTCATATGAATTGATTTCCATCTCTCAGCATCCTAAACAGAATACACTCCTACCTCACACTTTTGATTTCCTTTTCCAAATCACTATTTTTGGGTGGAACTTTATAGTGCTGACAATAGGGTTGCCACAGTAGACTTACAGATTAGTGTTATTTGATGTTTTCCGTTGATTTGTGTAACAATGGGCAAAGTGTGCGTTTTGTTCTTAATTGTTTATTTAATCGACTGGTCCCATTGGGTGCCCCTCCCTCTCAATGTGCTTTGTACTAACAGAGAGGGGAAATGGCCAGCAGTGTCCTTTTTGAAAACTGTCCAGCTGTCAAAGTGGCACTGACATTTTCACAAAGCTCCCTGGGCTCATCTCCTCTGTCTACACCCCTCCCGCCGGCCTGGGGCACTGGAAGCTCTCCTCTCACACTGCCCTCGTGCAGAACAATGGGAATAATTTTATTGTTCACTAATAAACAGATGATCCAGGTCACATTCAGTACGGTCCTAAAACTTTCAAGATTAAAAAAATTAATAATAAAATCTCTCTCATTTATTCACTGATTGTTCCAGAATTTAAGGTTAACAGAGATGATCTATTTTGGCAGCCCTATATCCACTGGCCATCCATGTCCTGTGGTGTCCGATCTGTGAATGGGAGATGGATGCTGAATGTTGATTTGACATTGGTTTTCTTGTGTAGCCTTATATAATAATAGATATGTATATATATTTAACAGTTTCTTCTGTGTTTTTCCCACAGAATCCCAGCCCACTATGTGTACCCTCAGGCCTTTGTCCAGCCCAGTATGGTGATCCCTCATGTCCCGACTGCTGCTGCTGCCGCCCCCGCCACCGCCTCGTCTCCATACATCGACTACACTGGAGCGGCCTACGCCCAGTACTCTGCTGCCGCTGCCACTGCCGCTGCGGCGTATGAGCAGTACCCGTACGCCGCCTCGCCTGCTGCCGCAGGATACATGGCCACGCCCGGTTACGGATACGCTGTACAGCAGCCACTGGCCGCAACTACACCTGCAGCAGCGGCCGCTTTTGGTCAGTACCAGCCCCAGCAGCTGCAGACTGACCGAATGCAATAGCAGCCACTGCAGCATCTGGACACAGAAGACGGAAGGCCTGCCCCCTAATGCAGCTGATTGGTCGCCAGAAGGAGCGGTAAACGGAGATGGAAGAGAGTGGTCTTGCGGTGTGTCAGCCACTCTGAGGCTGCTGTTTAAGTGGTGATGATGGTAGTGATGCCGATGAGGTGGGAACTTTGACAGTACTTTCCAACTTGCTGTGCTTCAACCAAAAATGAGAAAACAAAAAATGTGGCCGAACAAATGATGGAAAGTGAATTTCATTTATTATTGTATTATAACTATTATCATTGTAGTAGAGTACTTATTTCTATAGAAGAAATGCAGGAACTAATCACTGTGATTGGTATAGGTGTAAACTAAGCCTTAAGTCCTATTGCTGTCTCTAACGTTAGTTATTTTCACTGGTGGTGCTCCACTAGTGGTTTAATTATGCCCTCATAACATTTATATATTTATTACTGTTAATATATTGGGGCAGTCTTTGTTCTTTTTGTTTATTTTTAAGTGCATTTTTTAGTTTATATTTCTGATAATCAGGGAAATGGAGCCGTTTCCATTGTTTTATTATTATTATGTAACTTCTGTCGGGAGCTGGGGAACTCAAGAGTTGTCATGTCACATTTTTGATGAACTACCTTATCGTCCTGATGCTGAATGTCCCTTTTATACTTTGTGTAAAACCTATGCAACACACAAAACAAGACAAGACAAAACAAGTCATCGGCTCGGACTGGACTTTTGACTAAAGCGGGACTCCATCAATGAAACAAAGGAACAAACAAAAGATTCAACATGGCTGCGCACAATGAGAAACAGTGGCAGTTGGCTTGAACAGATTTGCACGCAGAGCAGAGCGTACAAAGGCCGAGTCAGGGCAGGAGAGGGGTCTGCTGGTGGCGTTTGGAGGACACACAGGAGCTCTCTAGAAGGCCGCGTTTGTGCAGTTTGTCGAACTGACACATTTTAATCCCTGACGTCACAGGGCCTTTGCTGCTGACAGGCTGCTCCTGTCAGCGCTTCTGCTCTGGGCAGGGCCAAGTGTTCACCACTCTGCCAGTGTCACACCTGTCAACAACACCTGGTGAAGAGCAAGTCGTTCAGTGTGCCTTACTTACTACTATTTAAAGAAAAATAAGGAAAAAAAAACTATTTATGGTTATTTATTTTTGAGGGCTGACAATGTTTATGCTCTAAGAGTAGAAGTAGTCTAGCGGCGATATTAAAATATAATGTACTCATCTCAAGGCATTTATAAGTTATTGCTTAGCTTTAGTAATGATAATATTACTATTGTTATAATTATTAACATACTCAACTTAAAGTTGGTGTAGGAGATATTTAAGATATTATTTTGTTATGTGCACTGTACCTTTAAATCCTTTGACTCTTTAGGATGGATGAATGCCTTTTGTACAGAGGATCCTTATTTAAGTGCTTATGAATAACTTATAAAAACTGAGCAAACATGCTGCTTTCTTTCTCCACTAGAATGTATGGCTGTGGTCAAGGTTTCAGTAGCTGTGCTTCTTTTGCTTAGTATTCATGAGATGGGCTATTTTACACTGTTGGGAATTTTTATACTTGAACTATTTCTTACAAGGGAAATATGAAAAAATAAATGAAAAAAATATGAAAAGCTGTCTGGATGAAGGCACGTTAAGTGTTACTATTGAAATACAATGGTCCTGTTGGTATTAAACCTTTATTCCAGATATTCAACAACATTTACTGAAAAATAAAAATAAATAAAAAGTTACAAAAGTAAGGTATGCATCTTTATTTTTATTTATATATGACATCAGTTGATATAAGGTTCTCCAATCATGATAATTTCTATAGCACTTAATACTTTGTAGACTTATATCTATATAATTTGCAAACACAGGTCTTAGGATGTAAGTTTGTGAGGCACATGAAAGATTCAGCCTCTGATCAATTAGTCATGTTTGTAAGAAGTCTGCTGGTGTGTTCAAGATGCTATTTCTGTCACAGCGAAACATGAGAGCAGCTCAGATGTCCTTATCATGAGAGGGCACAGACTCACAGAGATTAATATGAGAGGTGAAAAAGAGTGAATTAGTTTAATAATATGTTGAAGTCTTCCAAACTTTAGACCAGGTATTTAATATACAATAGAGAAATATGTGACAAAATATGAAATACTATCAAAATCGTTATTAATTAAATAAAAAAGGGGCCTATTGAAAAATAAATTAATACTAAAGAATTAAGGTATATCTGTAGATTTATAAAGGAATATAGGCTATAGTCCTGCATGAAAATAATACATTACAACTAGCATTAATAATAAAAAAAATAATAATCGGTTATTTTACTTTATTATTAATTGATATTAATTGTCATTGACTGATCATAGAGCAATCCTAGGCCACAGGATGGAAGCTGATTCATATGTATAAAATGTGACAAGACGGAAAATGTTGAGCTCTTTCATATCTAAGATTGGAGGGTGGGTAATAATTTGGACTATGACAACATACAGGGTACCACATATCGTTTTATTTTGTCTGTTCAGTCCATTAGTGTACAGGAGCCGGTGCAGCCCTGAGTCATGGTCCCGCTCTCTCAGGTTCAGTCGCGTTTCTTAATTAGGACATCCCGGAAGAGTCCCGAGCGCAGCGCACAGGGGCAGGGGACAGCACCGCGCCAGTGAACGGTGACCACCAAAACCACGCAGGATTCTGGAAACAACACTAAAACAAAACACAACGCACACAGGTGAGCCAAAAATGTCTCTTTTTTCATCCAGTGCTCGCGTGAAGGTCAAGATTTGCCGATTTTGCGCTTGATAATCTCAATTTGGGGTAGCCTAAAGTGGAGGGGTACTGATCCGTCTTGCCACGAGTGACCTATGCCTAGTCTACTGGTGGAAAAAAGAAATATATGGACTTTCTATCGGCTTTGTTTGGTGGCTATAGGTTATATTGTGGTACCACGTCAGAGAGTTTTGGAGGGGCGGTGAGTTTTGTCACTGAGCCAAAAGCGCGTGTGGGGGGATTTCTTAAGGCGCACTTACATTATTCTGCGGATAGACAGAGAACTGGTCCGCAAAATATAATGCTATTATCAAAGCCAGAAATATTACTTTGTAGTTTTGTCCCTGATCTTTAAGCTTAGCACAAACTTTATTTTGTTGAAGTATATTGTACACGTGCAGTTATGGCATTAATTATTATTGATGCTCATTATTTTTGTCAAATAACCCACATTGCTTGATTATAAAAAATCTACATGATATTGCAGAGATCCCAAGACCCTCGAGGACTCCACTGCAGTCACCATAGCACCAAACGACTGCCCCGGACCAATATAGCCCCAAAGATCAGATACCAGAGCAATGGGTTCAGGGCACTTAGAGGCAGTGTGCTCAGTAATATCTTTTCCACTGTAGAGGGGTGTCTGCTTTGGCAGCTGTTGCTTGGGGGTTTTGAGGTCTGTGGGGCAGGCAGGCTTATAGACACCTGTTGTTACATTACAAAATGTTCCTAAAGGGAGCATTGTGCCAAATCCTGTGTTTGATTAATAGTGATTATGACTGTACTACTAAACAACACTTTAAATGTCCTATATTATGCAAAATTGACTCTTATGACATTTACAGCTCCTTTTACCTTTTGTTCAGTAGAGATGGGCAATTCTAGGGATTCTAGAAATTATCCAAATGATTATAGGGGAGGTGTATGGAGTTTAAAAACACACTGGAGTACTTCTTGTATTACCACATCACAAAGTGGAATGTTTTCAATTTGAGAGAAGAACTTAAAATATGCAAGATGTATGTGGGAATGAAACAAAACACAACTCCAGGTATGTTTCTTAAACACTATTCAGAAAAAAGCGTAATACAGGCCCTTTAAATTAAGAGGTTCACATTCAATCATTTGTCAGTAAAAAATCAAGGAATTGATACTGAAAGCTGTCTGTATTTTAATATATCAAAGTAAAAATAGAATATTGCCTGGATCAGTCAATATAAGGATCATGATGATTTTTTTCCTTTTAATAAAAATACAATATGTTTAGTTTATCCCATTAGTTTACATATAACTAGGATAAATCTTAAACCCCTTACAGTTCTGGCATTTTTGTCCTAAAACTCCTGACTAAAATGAGCCCCAGTTCAAACTGAATCTGTATCTGAACTCTTAGGAGCACAGACAAATGGCTGGACTCTTTTTGAAGCTGAGGCCCTGTAGTTTTTGCCCCCTGATCTGCTCTCATTAAAAGTGGGACCAAGCTCTGCACAGAGGAACAACATGTTTTAGGTATAACTGCTGTCTGGAGTGATTGTCTGATTGACCCTAGATTGAACATTTGTTGCGTTTTGACAATATTAAAGGTGAAGCATATCTCACTAAACATTATATTTAGAGACTTAGATAATTAGTCGAGGTGGAATTAATATAAAAGTTCTATTAATTATTTCTTTAACTGCAGGGTTTTTAATTTGTGGGTTTGAAGTACAAAGATTCTTCAAGTGGGTTTCCATTCAGGTGGGCACAAAAAAAAGAAAAAAGTACAATGGTTAATGATGCACATGACTGGGAGAGCAGGATGTACTTGGTTCTCTAACCTCACTTTAGGTATCAGTAGTGACTATTAGATTTCAATCAATAGTGTCACATTCTTGTACCATAAACATTTGTAACTCATTTTCTCTTTAGTTTGGGTCAGATTGTGTTCAGTCAAGTGTAGCTCTCCAGGTTTTGTGTCTGGGTTTGGAGCTGTTGTGACCCAGAGACCAGAAATAGATGGAGAGGGACAGTGAGAGGCATTTGGCACCACTGGGAGAAGGCTCTTGTCTGATAACGCCCAGTCAGACATGTTTGCCTCTTATAATTACAACTCATAATTCACAAAGATTACAGACGAGAAAACATACTATATGTGTCTTATGTAAATGCTGAAAGTTGTGCTGCGTTTTATAGCTGGGTTTAAGTTGAGCGCATGACTGAATTTGTGTTAGTTTTCAGCTCCGTATCACTGTGAGGTGTATGACCTGAGAAGTTATGGTACTTTGTATTTGTATTGCCACTGTGTATTAGAACATTTAATATGTTCTGTCATTTAGGGCTCCAAGAACTTAAAGTTGATAGATTGATAATTATTAACTGGAACATGCCATAAACAGAGACAGAAAGAAAAGGTTTATTTATACCAACCAGTCAAAACAATATTAGATCTATGCTTTTCTGTCAACATTTCCCCTGGTGCCTTGCTTTATTACAAAAAAAAAAAATTCACCCGCCATTTTGTTTGTTGTTGTTTGCTGCTCCGAATGAATCGTTTGCTTGGCCAGTGACCAATCACAGGGCAGCTCTGTGGTTTCGGCAGGAGCCAGCACCATTTGAAACAAAACAAACATGGGGATGGCGACAGATGTACTTCAGCCTATTCTAGCGGGAATACAGACTATTTAATTTTTGAAAAACATGCAGAGGGGAGTGCTTTGTGTATTTTGTGCATTTAAGCAAAGTTTGATTTTTGGGCTTGTTCTGCAGCATTTGTTTGAATGCTCCAATCGTTGGTTCACTTTCAGTGAGAGCCATCCCAGACTGATGTGTAGAACTCAGTATAGAGGGCTACACATATCAGTCTGTCGAGGACGAGGTTATGTTTTCTGTTGATTATCATATAACAGAGGGAGAGAGATCAAATAATTTAAATAAACAGTTGGTCATTGCCTTCCCCTGACGTTTAGCACATGGATGCACCATTAATAATACTGGTCTCAGGTCTCAGCTCTCATCCAGAAATATTTGCTGGATTGGGTAACAGTTCCAGGATTGGCCTAAATTCATGCACTAAGACTATTTACTGGTGAATGGTGGCTCAGAATGTCTCATTTATTTATACAGCTGTTGTTTATAAAGCAGATTTTTTATTTATTTGAAAAATAAATGCTAGTTCTGGTGTCTTAATGACCACTAGCCATCACTATATCTAGTAATCTATTTTTGTTTTCAGATTGTTGCCATGGAGGGTTTGATAGAGCGGTTGGAGCGAGCAGTTACTCGTTTGGAGCAGCTGTCGGCCACTATGCTGGCGTCAGGTCTGACCAACAGGGACTGTGTCAACGGCATCAACGGAGGTAAGTCGTGAATACCTTTCTTGAATAATAATGGAAATGTAAACCAGTAAATATGACAATGTCTTTAAGAAGCTCATGTTTATGTTATTTCTAGATATGCTGGAGCATGTGGAGGCCTTTGACGTGCTGCTGAGAGGTCCAGTGTCTGAGTACATGAAACACAGTCAGGCCATTGGAAGTGATGTGGAGAAACATGTAAGTCTGATACTGAGGGGGGCACACTTTACACAGTTTTAATACTATTATTATTAAGTTTCTTATATTTGCTATTTTAAGCTGCTGTGGTCAAGTAATTTTATTTTGGCTGAACAAATGATAAATGGCTGTAGTGTTGGATTACATACCTACATTGCTCTCAGGTAGTCTGTATTTATTCTACTCAGACTTTAGGAAGAAGAGGAATAGATTTTACTGTGCAACACTCCCCATGTACATTTTTAAGGTGTACTATATTCACTTTTTCTGGTGGAAGGTATTTGCTAAGCACCATGAAGATGATATTGGTTTGCCTGGAATTGAAAATCACACAGTGTAGCATTAAACTTTTTTTTATCTTCATGGAGACAAGCAGATGACCAGTGCAAGTTACATGTCAGATCTCAGGAGAGGTGACAGAGTTTACTGTAAGGATAAAAGGGATTTAAAGGCAATTAAAACACTTAAAACTCTCCACATAAGATATACTTTCTCTATATATTCTAGAGATATATATTCTAGACAAAGTAAAGTTGACTAAATGTGGTTGAGTCTGGAGGTCAATGTCAGGATTAAGATTGACTAAATCTGCCAAATTTGGAAATGTTTTCTTAATAAACTTTTTGCAGAGTTCATAATAGAGGGATGTGTATTTGCTTTGTTCTTGATCATTAAGAATAACATTTACTATACTTCATTTTGTGTTTCATTGGACATAAATTCATAAACAAGGCATGCATATCTCTTCACAAACAGCAACTTCAAGCATATGTTAAATAACTTGAAGTCTTACAGTTGTGTGGGTTTCCTGCAGTCTACAGGTCTAAGGATGGGAGTATGGATGAACTTTGACCTTTCATTCATTTATAACAAAACTTCTAAAGAACGTCCTATTTGGTAAAGATTGTATCTCTATTCTGTACGATGTGGAAAAATTAGTCTGGCTTCTGTCCAGATATGCAGTGATAGCTCCAAAACAAAAATAGAAGAGTGTGGAACAAGATTATAGTAAAAAACTAAATATCAGTGTTATTATTGGCTGTGTCCCCTGAGAGAAGCCACTTTATCTAAGAGTCCCATCTCCCCAAGAGCGTGAGGAGATAATGGACTGAATGAAGCCAGAGGTAGTAAGTTTAGGAGCTCCTTATATGGTCAAAGCTCACGGTGGTTCCCTTGGCCCAAACCTTGAGGTCTCTCTCCAAACACACTGGACGCGGATGGCTGGTACTTACAAAACATTGTGTGAATGTGTGTGTGGAGATTTTATTGGCCTGAGCAGAGCATGAGAAGATAGCCACATAAACCACAGTTCTATACTTAGTTTAAGGACTTTGCTTCATATATGCCCTCTTTATTACCATTAAACTAAGTATGTTTTCTCTTTGACAGGCGGAAATGGTGCACAAGGCTCTACAAACGCAAAGGACGTTTCTCAAAATGACTGCAACCCACCAGCAGCCGGCTAAGGTAATTAAGGGCAAACACCAAATCATTTTTTTAATTGATACTTAGCAGCTGATGTCATCAACGTTCCCAGGGAGTGTGAAGCTAACAAAAAGCACTGCTCTGTAAAATGCTCTGTTACTCAAATTAGACTTAATCCAATCTTTATTTCAACATATCTAACGAGAAAGGTTGATTTGACTGATTTGGTCGAAACTACAACAGGTAGGATGATTTGTGCACTTAAACAAGTCTCTCACATGTAAAATTCCAATCACACGCTCACTTTCACCTTTTTTGTTGAAGATCAAACACCTAAACAGAACCATGAACACTTGTATTAATCCAGGCAAATGTGCTGTTTAAATTAATTTGGGTTTTTAAAAACATAAATATATAAATGTTCATCAGTTTTTGCTAATGTGTGCTCTGTGTCACCATGGTAACTGTTGAACAGACATACCTGAGCGATACATGTAGAACACCCCCAGTATGATATAGAATATGAATAGGACAAGATGTATAATGTTAAAATGAGGGAGAGATTTAGCAAATTGTTGAAGCCATGAGTCAATCTCACAGTGCCGAGTCCAACACAGAGCCCAACCTCCTACACTCTAAACCACATATTCAGTCATAATAAGAGAACACAATATAATATGTAATCTATAGAGTAGAATATAGTCTTTAGTGTCACATCATTTGACCACCCCTCCCTCTCAGTGCTGCACGTCCTGTTCACAGAGGGATTACACTGCTCTTTGAGGAAGAAAACGCTAATACAACACATTCCCTGCATGTTCCTGTTCATAAAGAGGGTAATGGGAGAGAGGCGTAAGCCCATGATATCATCCCATTGGCCTTCTGTTTGTGTTGTGTGGCTGTTATTGGGTCCACAGAGCCTACCAGGAAGTGACCAGCACTATCTGTCAGGCCATTGGTTAAAATCCTGTGAAAAGAGCATTCAATGATGGGCCCAAATGCAAACAACATAAGAGTAAGGGTTACATGACAGGGTGGGATTGGAGAAGGGAGGCGACGGAGAGAGGCCAGGGACATTTGATCTTTGTGACATAGATTAACAGTTTACATTTGACAAAGGAAGTCTGATTTGCCATAGGTTTTACCATCAGCTATTAAAAATTGAGTGAGGAGATTTACTAGGAGAGTTACTATCTCAGCAACGATAAGCCTTAAGTGAGGAACAATATTTTGGTTGTCTTAAGAACATGCAACCTTTCTGCACTTGTTCTTGTTCATAATGAAATATATATGTAACTGTTCTTTCAAAAAGGAACAGGTAATAGGCTTAATTTACATTACTTTATTACTTGTCGGAACAACATATGTAGAGTGCTGTAGGACAAGACCTCATCAGTTGGATTCAGTAAGAGTGTGTGAAGAGAGAGACCACAGTAATCTCAGTCTCTTTCACTCTCTCTTTTTGTCTCACTTTCCTCCTTTCTTCTTTCTCTCTTTCCCTCTCCCTGTCTCTATCTTTGTCCTCCTAGCTTGCGTTTTTCTCTCTCTCTTTGCCCCCCCACTCTCTCTTCTTTCTCTCTTTCTCTCTCCTTTCTCTCTCTCTCTCCCTCTCCTTGTTTCAACCCCCTCTCCCTGTCTTTCTCTCTCACACGTTGTCCCCCTTCTCTCCCTCTTTGCCCCCCCTCTCTCTCTGTCTGTTCTGCTGCGGTGTTCCTGTCTTTTTATGGGCATGTTCTATATTTGAGCCTGATGTCTGTTGTGCTCCTCTCACATGTGACCTGTTCTGTGTTGTGTGTGTGAAGAAGTGCTCTGTGGAGTTGGACTATCATACATTATTAGTCCTGTGTTTATTTAGGACTGAGGATAAGGCACAATCACTGTTTTATTGTACTTTATTTTACATCAACTTCAACTATCAATTACAGATGTTCCGCTATGTTTGATTCCTCTTGTAATCTATTTAAAAGTGCACTAAAGTAACTTTTCTGTCTCACGGAGAAGTCCGTAATCCTCCACACAGGAGGGCATTAAACTTATCGATCTTGCATTTCATCAAAAGGTGTAGTTATAGCTAAAAAATACCTTGAAATATGCATTCTTACTTTGACCCAGCGTGCATCTCCACTGATCTGACCTAAAATTTGACCTAGTGATGTCACCTGCTCATGTCCATGGAGATAACTACATTTTATGGCATAATGTGGAACATTCCAGGCAAAACAATAACATCTAAATGAAGAGATCTGAAGTGGCTGACTCTCCAACAGAACGGAGCACATTATTATGTATATACCAATCCCTATGTAGTACAGAAAATAAATGAAACTTTGTATTTTTTTATATATATATAATAATGATGCAAGCTAAATATTGAATTATAAAAAAACAGCATAGCCAGCTTGTGCTAAAAACTACATTACCACGTTAAAACAGGGAGAGAAAATTAATAAGATAATGAAAAAAAAAAGCCTGGGTCTGTGTGGTCATTGAGATCATGTGTGTTTGATTGAGCCAAGAATTCAGGATGCAGTGAAAAACGCTTGCTGTTCCTATACAAAATCTGCTATACAACTCTGTACATTGTTGCGTCAATTACATTAATTTCAATTTGTTTCAAATTTACTTCATCTACACACTAATGGTCCAAGACTGAAGTGATAAAATGTTGTAGGATAACGGGACCAATTCTTTTAAAACTGTCTCATCATAACTACTTAATTTAAAGATACACTATGTAAGTTTTGGTTGGGGGTCCATCACCTGCTTCTTTCTACGGATATGTCATTTCCACGGGGGAAAAGAATTGGATGGACCCTCCACCAGAAAAGTTACACAATGCATCTTTAAGTCTGGACATGTTTTCCACGGGGCATGCTTCCTGGCGTATGTGAAAGGTAAACTATAAACAGAGACAGAGCCCTGCCTTACAAGGACACAGGGATCTCCCCGTGAACCCTGGAATGCTTTAGTGACGGGACGAGGAGGGAGCAGGAGGAGATGAGCTACAGATCACTCTGTTTCACTGAGGAAAAAGTCTATCAACCCAAAAAACATGCACCAGAGACTAAAGGTGGAAATTAGCTCTAGTGCTACAACCTGGCACAATACATCTCTCCTGTTAATGTATATCGTGCACTGTCCCTGTCTCATAAATAAACAAAATTAATCAAATAAATAAATAAATAATATGGCTAATAAAGTTAGTAGTTTGTTAGTTAGTAGTAGAATAGGAAAGAGAAGTGGAAGTACAATTTTATTTAGTGATTTCAACGGTTATGGTCCTTGATTTGTTTGAAAGACTTCATACAGCCTTGAATAAAAAGTGACATACATTGTGTTTTTACAAGACAACAATGCGCCAGACATTACTGTACTTATGTAATAGAAAACTTCATCTTTACACAGTTTTTATTTGTACTTGTACATGTACATCTGTATAAGTATGCCTTATTTGACTCCAGTTTCTTGCTATTTTTGCCACTTATTTTGAATGTATTATCGCCATTTATATTTTCTGTGCTTTATTATTATTATATTATATTGTGATGTGTGAGCTACATATTATTTTCCTTGTGGATCAGTAAAGTTTGTCTAAGTCTAATACTCAAATAAGGCCAATTTAATAGTCTGTGTACTATAATTACTGATGCAAAATATACTCAGACAAGGATATACAGAAATAGTATTATACAAAACACCGCAAGGGTCTATTGATGCCATGCAAAAGCTGCCTGGAATTAATTTTACACCTGTGAAAGACAAAACTGAATGAAGCTCCATCACACTCTTGTCAGACCCCAGTAAATTTAAGCATAGGCCAGTCATATTTAGATTTAAAGCCACTACAAAAGAATTTATGGTGTTTATAATTCACCTCTGTATTTGCCTTTCTTCTGCAGATGGAGTTGCATGACCTGCTCAAGCCGATATCTGATCACATCCAGGAGATTCAACAGTTCAGGGAGCGAAACCGCGGCAGCAACTTTTTCAACCACCTCTCTGCTGTGAGCGAGAGCATCCCCGCTCTGGGCTGGGTGGCAGTGGTGAGGGACTAACTGTTTACACTCAAGAAAACACAAAACAAATAGGATCAAATGCAATTTACTGACATCTGAGTTTGGATCCCAGAGACATTGCAGTAAACAATATATTTCTTCCATTATGAAAATCAGTGCCCTGTGAACCACTTTCTAACAGGAAAAATAATCACTGCAATAGAACAACAATAAAACCCATATAAGTAGCTAATGAAGTTTAAAGACCTGATGAATTGTTGTTGGAAAAGCTCACTTTATTTTCATCATTCCAATAACTGTAATTATTTACAGTTGTGGTTTTACAGGGTGGTTGACAGTCACAAACAGACCTACATTGTTTAAAAACACATTGCACCGAGTATTTATCCAATGTAGTCTGTTTCTTATCAGTGTGGCATCTCTCCCTCTGAGTCTTAAGTTGAAAATCATTTAGATTAAAGTTAAACCACTTGACTCTGGTTCTGGTTTTGGTCTGTGTATATCACTGTCAGACACTATCCCACATGTTAAACATCAGCTGGAGTTTGTCCTGCTTTAATGAAAGTCATTATTTTATGTATTTCAGACTCTAAAGCCTGGTCCATATGTGAAAGAGATGAACGACGCTGCCACCTTTTACACCAACAGAGTCCTCAAAGACTACAAGGAAAGGTAAGCCTCAGTTTTGTACACAAATATCTGCCAATGTTTTATGGGCAGTTGTCCTTTCAAACTTTACCACACATTACTTTATTTCTTTAAACATATTTTAAATCCAAATGCAATGTTAGAACTCTTAAATGCTTGCTATAATTGTGTTTTAAATCGAATCACTTGAAACTGTCATTTAAGTTGAAAGCGTTTCATTATTTCAGTGACAGACGCCACGTGGACTGGGTACGCTCTTACCTGGCGATCTGGACTGAGATGCAGTCTTATATCAAAGAGCATCACTGCACTGGGCTGGAGTGGAGCAAAACTGTGAGTAAAACACACTTATAAATGCACAATTTCAAGAAACTAGCACAGATAAAGAGTACATTACCACTCTAAGGTCATTTAAGTTTCTTCTTTATTTCATAATTATTTTCATTGTAGATTCTCACTGAAGGCATCAAAACTATGAATGAACACAAAAAGTAAACTCAAAATAACTCAAAACTTGTTTTAGATTTAATCTCATCAAGAAGTCCAAGGATTTGCAGCACTATCAACAAAGCAAAGGGTGGATACTTTGAGGATTTGAATATAAAATATATTTTAAAAAAATACTTTTTTCTTTGCTTCTTAATTTCATATATGTTGCATCATATATTAAACATCCTCTTTGTGTATTTAAAGTGTAGAAATTGGTAAACCTAAAAAAAAAAAAAAAAAAATACATTGAAAAAGAAGGTGTGTCCAAAGGTTTGACTGGAAGTGTATGTTCCACCTAAATAATGTTGTGGTAAAACAGAATAACAAAAAGTGTAGGTATATGTGCATGTCACTGGTTCTTAGCTGATCCAGTGAACATAAAAACCGAGACAAAGTCTGCACACTGGTCATGACCTGAGGAAGCCCTACTAATCAAAACTTCAGTCATTAAATGCAGTCTGGGAGCAAGTGTCTCTTTGTCTTGCTTTCTACGTGAACCAGAATTATACACAAAAAATATTATTTCCGGAATAAAAATACTGTGTTATATTAGTGTCATAATGGTATTGTTATGTGGAAGTACTAGTCCCCAGTGTTTTGTGTGTCGGAAATAGATTTTAAAGTTATCTTAATCTTTTTAAACGGTAATACTCTGGCGTGTTCCCATGTACTCTCCTGTTGTTTTACATAGCTCTCAAATGAAACCTCAGATAACATACACCACTTATTATTTCACAATTTGACACCAGGATCCAGGTCCCTTGAGACATTGCCTAATCACTTGTTTATTGAAAGCATGTTTTTCCTTAGGACCTGATATCTTTATATCAGAGCTATAATTATCTACAATCTCTGTGTACATTTCCATTTTTAGGTATGCAGCTGCGCTTACATAAAGTTTGAGTGAATGAATGTGGTTCTTTCCCTGGATGGATTTTGTGTCTTTGCTAGAAATCACAAAATGTTTACCATAGGCTTCTACACATCTGTTTTAAAGCCCCCTGTCTCAGCTGCACATATTACTTCAAATAGTTTTAATTGGCTGCGAAAATACTATTTGAATTTTAATCAAATATCTGTATTTTTAGCATTAAAGTTAAAAAGAACATTTGCCCCTGATCCCTCACAATCTTTGAATTTGAGCTTAGTCTTAGAGGAGGTTCTACATTATTATTATTGTTTATTTATCCTTTTTTTTTTTTTTTTTTTTAGCTAGGAAGGTCCCATTGTGACACAAATCTGTTCTTCCTGGGAGTCCTACATTTCCAGCATTGTTTTTCTTTCTGCATATTGTTGTTAGTTAACTGATGACATGCTTTTAGGGGTGGGACACAGCACTAATCCCACAGGCCAGACAAAGGACTAAACTAACATCATTCGTTGCACCACAGTTTATTAAGATTCTAACTCTTCCACTATCGAGAGTAATGCAAACTATCCCGTTTGCATAATGATTGCAAGCAAAAATAATAAATACATTCTTGATAAATTACAGTTACAGTCTTGCAGCAGCTAGCAAACTATACAGGGTTTCCCAACTTCTTTTTTTAAGTGCCTATGACAGGTTAGATTCATTTTGCTGAAACACAGTTAAGATCATTATATTAAAGATTTTTGCACTCACACTCATTTTCCTAATTTGGCCATTTTTTTAGGTTTAAAATTTAAATTCCTGGTTGACATCAAACTTTTACTTAGCAAAATTCCTCTAATGTACACATAAATTATTATCTGACAAATATAAATGTGAGAAAAGACCATGATTTTGTTAAAATAATGTTTAAAATATCAGAAAAAATGTGTTTCTTGTGTGTAAATTGTACTGATCTTCGTAGTGTGATGCCATCACTGTTTGAAGTCTCTGCTTGTAACTTTCAACTTTTCTTCACAAATTGCTTCTTGATTGGTGTAAAACTATAGGTTATATATTTACAATAGTTATAATCCCGCCGAATTAAGTCAAAATTAGAGAATCATAAAAATCTGTCATACACAATTTATGTAGTAAAGCTTAATTGAGCCACTTGTCAAGTAACATAGGCACAATGTTCACATGTGAAGCATATTTCCAATCCACTTTATTTATATCTCACATTTTCAAAATTTCCAAAGCAGTGCACAGACTATTTAAGAGAATTAAAGTGAATAAATCATACATAAAAACAATAAATAAAAAGTGTTAAAACACATAATATATTTCTGTCAAACGTTGAGATTAACACCTTAAGTGCAGCTAATGCAACTGGCGTTTCCTCACAGAAACCTGAGTCGTGGCTGTGTGTGTCAGCTGCTGCCCTGCGCTCGTGCAACAGAGCTGAAGTGTGTGACAACAGGTGGTCCTCAGGGTCCAACTTGAATGAAGGGTTTCTTTACACAAGGCCTTTGACAAAGAGTCTGTGTACACTCAGCCCGGTCTGTAACCAAAAACTGCAGGGCTGGTCCCACTCAGCGTCATCTGCTGTTCAGGCTTTTACTGACATGGACAGGCGCAGGGCAACAAATGGACCGGGGCCATTTACTATCACTATAAACATCAAGGGTGTTTGGGTTCTAATCTTTTTATTTCATGATGTCAACATTCAAATGAAAAGACATGTAGTACTCTACTCACATTTTTAATGAAATAGGCCTTTATTAATTAAAGAGATTGTATGTATATAAAACAAGTTTAAACATCAAATTGCACAGAGCCCTGACACACAGGAGCAGTTGGGCAGTTTTACAGCTTGAACACACGCGCTCCTAATCCAGAGGTATGCACTGAGCTGTAGTGTAACAGGTCTGCTTTGTTTGGGGCTGATCTGTGGAACACATGTGTTGGGGCAAATATGAAATGGCCTCAGCAGGTGACAAACCCTCCTCAGCCCCGTGTCTGTCTACAGCTGTCAGGTCTGAGCTGCTGTCCAAGTCCACTCCTCATGGTAGGGGGTGAAGTAGTGAAAGGAACAATCAAATACATTTGTAATTAAAAATAAAGTAATAATAAAGAAAACACAATAAAGAAAATGTTTTATTAGTATATTGATACTGTAGCATATGTGTTTATTATGTCATTATGGCTGTAATTCTCACCAATCAATGAATCCTAATAACAATCCATGTGTATTAGGATGATGAAAATCTAGCAATGCTGCCATATCAATTAACTATTTAAAACTAAATGTTGTTTTAAATTAGCAAAAAATACCAAAATATCACCTATAAACAGGAAACTGAATCCCATTAGTAAGCTACTTTCTACTAATTCTTCATACTTATATGTGGCAAAAATAATGGTAAAATAGGAAACCAATTGCACAAAAGAAAACACTGAATTGAAAAAACTGTAATTCAAATATTAAACATTTCATTTAAAAGTAATATATTAGAGTTAGATTTGCTTTTAAAATGTCATTGGTGTTAGTGTAGAAGAACGTTCCTTCAGATACCTGCCTGTGACCAGGTCTCACACTCCCCCTGGTGTACAAATATGTTACTACAGTTACCCCCCACAGTCTTTAATCCCATTCATCATTTATCTCTGTTATCTGCCAGGGTCCGATTGCTCCTGCATCTCTGGTTGAGCCCTCTGCGGCCCCCAGTGCACCCTGCCCTCCCCCTCCCCTCCTCCTCCCGGGCCCCCACCGGTCCTCACAGACAACTCTGAGGCAGCCAGTGCACCATCACAGCACTCTGCACTGTTCGCCCAGCTCAACCAGGGCATGGACATCACTAAAGGTGGGTTTTTCATATCAACATTACATAAAAGAAAGTCTTCAGTTGTTTTACAAATGTTAATTCCTTTCACTTGCTTCAGTTCATATAGGCTAGGGCAGCATTATAGTAAACTGCATTTAAATGAGTTGGATCTTTTTGTCTTATCAACACAAAAGCGAAATGCAGCTGCCAAAGTGACTTTATATTTTAATTAGCATTTCTACTTTCTACTATTAATTTTCATTCTTGGACTTAGACAAACTTTGTTGATCCACAATGGCAACTGTTTGACACTCTACAGCTTTATTATAAGAGTTTCCCAGCTATTTAGTCCTATAAAATATGTGTACTTTTTGGATCCTTTTAGGGATGTTTCTTGGAATCATCTTTCTTTCTGAGCTCTTGTTGTACCAGTGCAAACCTTCAAAAAAGTTATACTGCTGCATACATGCCATTTTGAAATAGTATTTTATCATCATTATTCACTTAAGGTCTGAAGCATGTCGACAATGACCAAAAAACGCACAAAAATCCAGGTCTACGCTCTCAAACTGCAGCCACAACCAAAACCAAGGCTCGTGGGAAAGCAAGCCCTCCCAAAGCAAATGCCCAGAAACGGCCCCCTCTGCTGGAGCTGGAGGGGAAGAAGTGGAGAGTGGTATGTACTAGAAGAACTGACATGGATTTGTTTAATGTTTATTTTTAGCATGTTGATTAATTGCTTTCCCCCTTGCTGTTCCAGGAAAACTTTGAGCAGAAACACGACCTGATCATTGATGAGACTGAATTAAAACATGTGGTGTATGTTTTTGGCTGCAATAACTCCACCCTCCAGGTTAAAGGCAAAATTAACTCCATTATTGTTGGTGAGTTCTCAGTGCATATATCATATAAACTCTTTAAGGACTGTTAGGTTAACATGTGTTACGTCCTCTTGTTCTAGACAACTGCAAGAAGCTGGGTCTGGTTTTTGAAAATGTGGTTGGCATTGTTGAGATAATTAACTGCAAATCCATCCAGCTACAGGTCAGTACCATGTGTTGAAATGTCCACTAAGTGAGAATTCAGAAATTAAGACAACAACAACAACAACAACAACAAAAATGTTACAGTGCAGCTAATGTTAATTCATTAATGCTACAATTTAATGTATAATAAATAATGTAAAAGAATACAGTAAAATTGTGTTTCTGTTCTTTCTTTTGTCACTAATATTATTTTCTACACAGTAAGTTTTACACAATGCCATAACAATTGTTAAAATATTGCACTGTACAATTCTAATCAATCATTTAACTTTTATCTGTGTCAGGTTTTGGGGACTGTGCCCACCATCTCCATCAATAAAACTGAAGGTTGTCAAGTTTATCTGAGCAAAGACTCCCTCAACTGTGACATCGTGAGTGCCAAGAGCTCAGAGATGAACATCCTGATACCAGAAGGAGAGGATGACTATGTATGTCAAAATAATTATATACTAATGTATTAAAGGTGCATTGTGTAACTTTTCTAGTGGAGGGATATGTCATTGCTCTGTTCCAAGTGTTCCAGTGTTCCACAGCATGACAATGAAATGCTCTACCTTACATTTATTCAATTAATTACAGGTGGTTTTATAGCTCAAAAATACATAAAAAACATGTATTCTGAGTGTGAGTGGGATTGCCTCTCCACAGATTTAACCTGTAACTTGGTCTGGTTTGGTCTCCATGAAGATAGAAAAGTTTAATGCCATACTGTGAAATATTCCAGACAAAGCAATAACGTCTCCTTGTAGAAAACAATTTGAGGGATCCTCCACCAGAAAAGTTGCACAACGCACATTAAGCCTACATTTCAGTCAACTCAAATGTAATTCACGCTTCATTTTTTGTTTTTACAGAAAGAGTTTCCGGTGCCGGAGCAGTTTAAGACGGTGTGGGATGGCTCCAAACTTGTGACAGAGCCCACAGAGATTGCAGGATAAACACATCATCATCACACTGTTTCAAACTGTATTTACTCCTTTAATGTAAAATGTCAATTAGCACTTTGACCTAACAAACTAAACTAAATAGTTAACTTACATTTTAGTGCCATATCAGTAAAGGCTAATGTGTAAGAATAAAAATAAGAACACCATATTCCCCATCATAATCCTCTCTAGATTAGTAGCCAAACATTCAACTAAATGATATGAAAGACTTAAAGGTACATTGCATAACATTTCTAGTGGAGGGTTCATCATAATCTTGTCATCATGGAAATGTTATTGCTTTGTCTAGAATGTTCCACTATAGAGATTAAACTTATCTATCTCAAGGGACACAGCTATAAGCTACATTACAGGTTAGATCTGTGGAGAGGCAACGCTGTTCACACAGAGAACTATTGTATTTTTGAGCAACAGAAACACGTAAAAACTCGTAATAAAAGCTAGATAGATGTTGTTGCATTGCAGGCAAAGCAATAACATCTTCATGGAAACATGTATGTGATGTACCCTCCACCAGAAAAGTTGCACAAGGCATCTTTAAAGACCAGTTAAAAAAAAAAAAAGCATGTACTCTATGGTATATTAAGACTAGTTAAATAAAAAAAAAAAAAACATGTACTCTATGCTATATTATATTCTCATGGCTATGCCTAAATTTATCATTACTACAGATTATCATTGTGCTTAAAGAAAATTTTGTTTTTAGTTTTTTTATTAGTGCTTTGGCATTATATATGTTCAAGATAATGAAAACCTCTTAACTTGTTAAAAGCATTTTATTTTACATGGATACCATTTGTGATTGTTTATTTTACAAATAAAAATGAAAGCCCACCATTTTGTGCCGCATTGATGTTCTACAACAGTTGGAACTATGATTACTTTCAGTCCAGTCTTATATACCTCACATAATGTAAATATAATGTAAATAATTCAGAAGCAAAAACAGGATTACTATAATAATGAGTATTTCAGTTACTAAATGTTTTATTATATCTAAAAGAGAAATACCAAACTGAACAGTATTACATCTTGCATTATCTACTCCAGGTGTTAATGTTTAATCACCATATTTCCTTGTGAGTCTTGAGTAAATAGCATCTCCTCATCTTCATCTCCTTCATCCTCCTCTGGTCTTTTCATGGCAGTTACGTTACTCTGGTCTTTGAGTGCATTCCGAGTTTGAAGACCTCTATGAGCGATCACCCTGAAGCCTTGTGAATCCTGAGTGAACAACATGCTCATATTCTCATCATCACTGTCTCGAAACTGACATTTTAGTTTCTTCTTTAGAGAGTTTTTAGGTTTTGTCCATTTGATTGGCGAATTACAGCCCTCATCTTGATCTTGAGTACAAGTCTCTAGTGAAATGTCATTTTGAAGTCGTTCCAGTTTTGTTTGTTTTGACATTATCTGAACATGCGAGTCATGCATGGGCATCCTTGGATACTTGGGAATGCTGTTTTCTTTATCATTTTGCAAAGAGGGCCTTTTAAATGTTTTCTGAGTTGAGGTTCTTACTTGGGCATTGAACAAACCTCCAAATGTGTTAAAACTGTTCTGAGTAGGAAGGCTGCTAAGAAAATGATTACTGTACAAAGGGTCCTGACTGTTCTCCTGCTCCATGTTACAAGTATATGATGTTATATTGCTTTTATTCATCAATTGGCTCATATCTGTTGATGATTCTTTTTTATAGTAACGGTGTATGTTTGGAAGAGAAGCAAGGTTACATTCTTCATCTTCATTCTCCCACCACAAGGCAGCGTGAGGCTCAGTTTGTTGTGTATTTCCTTCTTGTTTAAGATCCCCAGACCATAGTGGCTCATTGTTGAAGTCATCAGAATCTCCTGTAGCTGTAGCTCTAACTGAAGAAAATTCCTCTTGCGCGCTTGCGTTTGGTCTTCCAGAGGTGCAAATTTTTTTGAGAACTATTTAGAGATCACAAAATAATAAGAGAATAATAATAATTATTTTGCAAAGGAGATGAATTGATGAACAAAACCTACCTCTGCGTTGACATGTAAAGAAGTTGGAAATTGAGCTTTGTTTTGTTTTTGGCATTTCCATTTTGGTCTGAGTAAAGTTGAGAGCTACAGCCACATTGTATCCTGCTCCATCTGTAAAGGGGTTTAGCAGTTTGGAAATGGGCCGGGCTGAACGTTTCTAAAAAATGAAGAAAATTATATGTTCAGAGAATAAACAGTATGAAAAATATTGTGTAGCTTTGAAATCGTATGCAATATGACATTTGTTATTATATTAACACACTTAATATCACCACTTTAACGTAAAAAATAAAAATAAAAATCACATTATTTGTTATTATTAGTTGTTGGGTTACCTTTTGAACTTTTCTTTTCAGTTGCAAAGTGTCCAGCCACACACCGCAATCCTCTTTATTCTTAACGCTGTTCTGTGCGGCTGCTCGAGAGGTTTTCATTTTGTAAAACTGCTGAGTTAAGCACAGGTAGGTAGGTATATCAACATTGACTGATAAACTAAAACTAAAAAGCAATTGGCTAACAAGCTAGCTTTTACTAATGGGTCTAAATGGAAAAGAAATAAGATGCAATTACCTACAATGAAGTGAAATATAAGAACATATTTGTCAAGTGAATGTTTGTAAATTGAATAAAAACTTACCGATATTTTCTCACATCCACTTCAATATTACTCTTACACTGTTGAGTTGATTTGTTGTTTGAGTCTGGCGCCTTGAAAACAGGTACACGATGCATTTGACTGCGTTAAACTATGAAAAATAGTTTTAAAAATTTTTGAATAATAATACACTGTAATTTTTTTTTCATTTGTATACATTTGCCACACTTGGAAAAGATTGAGAGTTTGTGTTCAGTGCGTTTCAAAAAAAAAAAAAAAAAAAACAAAAACAATTCATGTAAGGCAAAATAATTGTCACCTATGCATGACGTTTGCGGGTCCTCACACGGAGGGTGTGTTTACGATAGAGCATAATTGCTAAAAAGGTATGTGTGACTATGTCTTTGTATTTTTCTCAGTAAATATGGTTTATATCTTCACTTGAACTCCATTTAATCCAGCTATAATATGCCATCTGTAGTTAGAGAGGTAGATGCCAAAAAGATTACACTCTATACTGAACAATAGAACCAGGAAGTTCATAATAGCTTCGTGGGCTTTAGCCACTTTAGCTAGCTGCTTAATCGAGAAAATATTATTTTCTTTATAATATGACACTTTGTTGACAGCATTGCAAGCGTTTGTCTATGTTTTATCATCATGTCTGTTGAGGTGATGTGTAGTCTTTGGGATATTAGTATTATAACGTTTTTGTTAAAAGCGCTTTATTCTTTTAGTAATAATCGGGTTTTAAATATGGCGAAGACCAGCTCTATATGATATATATGTATATGTATATTTACTTGTACTGGTAAATTCCACCAGCCTCCATCTAATCCTAAATCATCTATCAGATTAGCTGTTGCACTGGCCATGTCAATATGTTACAAAGCACATTCAATTTTAATAATTAACCTCAAATTTAATGTGTAAAATCTTTCCATCACAGATAATATTTTGCTTAGATCTTCATCATGTTTCATGGGATACCAGCCACAGGTGGTGTAGGAGGTAAGATAAGATCTTCTTTAATCTATTTATACTTGCTTGTACAGACATACATTTAAATAAATACATTTCTCACAGCTCCAGCAAATAAACCTGAGCTTTACGAGGTAAGAAATAAAATTGTATTAAAACGTATTTTGTCGTTATTGATATTAAACAAAATCAATAATTTGATTTTCAGGAAGTAAAGTTGTACAAAAATGCAAGAGAGCGTGAAAAGTAAGTCGCATTCTGTCATAATTTTATTAAAGTTTTATTTATTAAAGCAAGTTGTTACTATTGAATGCATTCTTTTTATAGGTATGATAACATGGCTGAGTTGTTTGCTGTGGTCAAAACCCTTCAGGCCCTTGAGAAAGCTTACATCAAAGACTGTGTAACACCTAATGAGTAAGACTGCAAGTCCATAAAAAGTGACATGAGCTGTTGGTCCTGCCTCAGAATAATAGATGTGATCCATTTGTGCCATTACAGATACACAGGCTCCTGTTCCAGGCTTTTGGTTCAGTATAAAGCTGCTTTTAAACAGGTGCAAGGATCTGATGTTGGATCTATTGATGACTTCTGCAGGAAGTACAGAGTGAGTTGGATTATGTCGGTATTTATTACCTCCGCCAAGGAGGTTATGTTTTTGCCGGCGTTTGTCTGTTTGTTTGTTTGTCTGTTAGCAACATAACTCAAAAAGTTATGGACCGATTTTGATAAAATTTTCAGGATTTGTTGGAAATGTGAAAAGGAAGAACTGATTTCATTTTGGGGGTGATCCAGAAGAAATCCTGGATTCTGGATCACTTTGAAATTTTAGTTAACATTGTGGTAAATGGGGCCAAAAATTTTGTTTCTCAATATCTCGGTTAATTATTGACCAAACCCCATGAAATTTGACTCAGGGATGGACAATGGCATCCTCTTTCATATTCCAAAGGCTGATCTGGATCTGATCCAGAAGACTGATTTTATTGCAATTTATATAAAAAATGGGGGTAATCCTTGGCGGAGGTCTGCGCTCTCTGAGTGCTTTTCTAGTATTTTTTACTATGTTTGTTGATGTTTGTCTCATCATATTGTTTTATAGCTGGATTGTCCACTGGCCATGGAAAGGATTAAAGAAGATCGTCCAATCACAATCAAAGATGACAAGGGCAACCTGAATCGCTGCATTGCTGATATAGTATCTGTAAGTTCACAGTTCACACCTTTTTTATGAGGGTCAATCCAAAACCAAATGAAAATTTGGTGTTGATGCCAATTCTCACATAATTGCTTTAGTTTGATCTGCTTATTGTAAGCTGTATTTTGCTGCTAAGTGCTAATGTTTATTGGTTTATTAACTTTTACCTCATTGTTGGAAAAAATATCTGCCTGCATACTGTTTGTCAGATAAAAGTCTTCTTTCTCCCATCTCTAAAACCCTTAGTTGTTTATCACTGTTATGGACAAACTAAGACTGGAGATCAGAGCCATGGATGAGGTACATAGATGGCTTCAAATTATATTTTTTATTTTATTTTTGGGATGATTCTTTAACTCTATCTTTTTCTTAGATTCAACCTGACCTAAGAGAGCTAATGGAAACCATGAACAGAATGAGCAACATGCCACCAGACTCTGAGGCAAAGGACAAAGTGAATCTCTGGTTAGTGTTTTTCTGCTTCAGATAGCTGATTGCTTCAATAAATCAAAACATACACACACACATCACTTTTTTCCAAGTCCCCTCTGTCAGATTTTTGGGCAGAATAACCACTGTCGAATAGAACATTACATGTTCACTGATTTAGTTTAACACCTGCAGTGTTCTTGTTGTAGTTCTTGTATTTAATTGACCTCCATTAGCTATCAGTTATTCTTTTTTGGGTTGATGGGGGAAACTGGAGTGCCGGGAGAAAACCCACCCAGACAAAATCCACAAAGAAAGGCCCGGGCGACCCAGGGATCGAACCTGGAACCTTCTTGCTGTGAGGCATGAGTGCTAGCCACTCAGCCACTATGCCTTGTTCTTTAGTAATTGAAGTGCTTTTCCCTGAATCCCCACTGTCCTGCGCCATTTGTACCACTCACTAACATTTGAGGCTGCTGTTAGTCAACACTCTGAGCGGCAGTGGAGGGACACGAGTGCAGTGCACCTCTGGAGTCTAGAATCTCACTCTGGTCAACCCAAAAACACGTCGGCAATATCAGAATTTGGGAATGGGCTCAGGTCTTTGTTGGACTTGAGCTGAAAATATAACTGTACCCATTGTATGTAGAATAAAAAAAACATCTGTATACTCAACTAAAAGTTAAAAACTAAACAAAAAACATTTTTGAAAAGTAAACTGTTCCACTGTCTTGGTTTGAAGTTACCTGAGGATATTACTGTCCGAAAGGGTTTTTGACAAAAGCAAATAAGAACTAAACGCTGTAAAACCATAAATAATATACAAGCTAAAACTACTATTAATGAAATAATGCCCCCTCTCTCTCTCTAGGTTGACCACACTCAGCAGCATGTCAGCCTCAGATGAACTGGATGATAATCAAGTGCGCCAGATGCTCTTTGACCTGGAGTCTGCCTACAATGCCTTCAACCGCTTTCTACACGCTTCCTAAAACCTCTCCTCTTGCAACTGTGCGTGTAATGTGGTTTGGTTGTTGAGTCTTGTTGAGTATTTGCAGATGTTGAAACATTCTCCAAAGACCGAAGTGGATATGTGTGTGGTGACATTTTCTGATCCCTGACAAACTCAACTATGACATTTGTTGTGCTATTCCTAATTTGTTGAGCCACCTTTTGACCATGTCGAGGTCTTTGCCATCTTACAGGTACATTGTGCTGCCTGAGGCCTTCGGCTGTAACAGTGTGTGATAAATTATTCACTAGACATGGTTTTCCATCATTCAGTTATCAAACAGTTTACGTCAATCACTGTACTGTAATATAAAAAAGTACCTACTTTTCTATTTTGATCTTTCAGCATACCATTGGGAAAAAAAAGGGTTTTGTTAACATAATTTTATGAATTAGGTTTAGAATTATTAACAGCCAAAGCCTTTATATTTGTTAAAATATGCTGAATTTAGAATTTTATTTTAGAATACACAGCATGGACTTATTGAGTAGTAAGCATCAATCACAGGTAATGGGAAGAAATTATTCTTTGGAGAGCTGAAATGCTCTTGATTCTGGTTAGTGGCTCTGGTTTTAATATGTATGCGCCTTTACTTGTTAATACTAATCAATGTTTGTTGAGTTTGGTTTGGGTGGACAGAAAAGCAGTGGATGTTTTCACTTTCTGTTTCATTCATGCCACTTTTAAACCTATCTTAGGACTATTTATAAAGATTTATCTCTGTAAATAATAGTTTTGATTTTGAAGCATGTAACACCTTTTTAGAAATAAACATGTACAAATTTCTATTTCCGAAACTGTGTCCATCTATATTTGCCATCATAATAGAGCAGATTATATTTATATATATTATGACCTACTTAAGAACTTGGCAAACTGACGTGATATCGCGTGTATAAAAGGAGAAGACGCAAAGAAATTTCTACAATTACTGGCGGTACTCTGTTCTCTTTACTAAAATTAGCCTTTTTTTTAAAAAATTGAGCTCTAGAGCTGTATTTCAACCATATCCCGCACGAACAAGGTTATTCTAATTATTCATAATTCCAGAAATTGTATACACAGTGTATGTTGATGGCACAGGCAACCTCCCTGAGGGGACAGCTCTTGTGTTGTGGCTCCTTTAAGACGCACGAGCGCAGTACGCGTTTCCACGGCGACAAATAATGACAAACTCTGGGCTTCGCCTGTTTGCTTTGGCACCTGGACTATTTAAACTTGCAGATTAACAACATAACTCAACTACAGTTCTTTAATCCACACCATTATGATTTCTGAGGTGAGCTGACAGGCGTATTGCGACCGAAGGACATCTTGCAAAATTCAACCAGGAAAAACAGGCATCTTGTCGGTTTGAGAAGATTCAAAAGTTTCTGGGGAAATTACAAACTTTGCTGAGACCAGTTTTACCTGACGCTGAGTAATTGCTATTTGTAAATGGTTATGATTTACAAAGGGACGAGCCCTTGAAAATGAACAAGAAACATGAATCAACGAGCGTCTCTGAAGTCGAAGGACACATATCACAGAAGTATGAGATCAGAAAGAGACTCGGCAAAGGGGTGAGTAAACCGCCGCTGTCCAAAACTCAATTTTGCCATAGCCTGTGGCCATAGCCTATGACTGTAGCCTGTGCTGGAACTGTCCACTTATCTGTGCATACCCGTTTGCATCCTTGTTAGTTTAACTGTTGTGCAGGTTGTCTCTTGTTCACTGTATTTTAGTTTCAGAACAAATTCCAGAAATTCTCCAGACTGAGAGTGCTTTGTGTGTAACTGTGTTGTAAGCGAGGGTATTATTGATTTTGTTGGGATTTGGCTGTATACTGGAACACGTGATGCTTTCGTTTTTGACAACATGTTGCCTACTTGATGCCTAATGTCTATAAACAACTTTGTTTTTTTCCAAAGACAGCCCACAAGGGCGGCCAGGTGGTAACTGCCACGTAGTCACGTCATATTGGTTAACATAGGCTAATACCTGAGGGCTCTTGTAACACCAGTTTCACAGCTGCTCAACATGACTACTGAAGGAGTTGTCAACTCTGCACCTGCTGCATCCGTCTGACTCCACTGTTAGCTGGGTTTACCTTCCTGTATAAGGAATACAGATAATATATAAGATACATATAATATACAATTATTAAGAACAATTATTCTTAGTGGATATTTACTCTTACTTTCATTTACTTTTTTTGTTTTCTATGATGTATCATGATCTCGTTATGGTCTAAAGTGTCCCTGCACATGATGTTAATTTTCCAGATAGTGGATGTGTGTTGCAAAACAAAATGAGAGTCTCCGTTCTTGTCACTTTCTATCCTAGGCTTATGGCATTGTGTGGAAGGCAGTGGACAGGCAGACCGGTGAGGTGGTGGCTGTTAAGAAGATCTTTGATGCCTTCAGAAATAGGACAGACGCTCAGGTGAGTATTTCTCATCTGCAGCTGGGAAGTAAAATGAAGTGTGCAGACTCTGTTATATTACAGTAAACAAAGATAGACCTTCACCTATGTGCATAGTGTGGCCAATGATTAAACAGTGCATCGTGCTATAATAATTGGCAATTTTCTTTTGTTTTTACAGCGCACATTCAGGGAAATCATGTTCCTTCAGGTAATCTGCTGGTATTACTGAGTTGCATATGTTATCTTTGTCTTTGACTGACAACTTTAAGTAATGGTCAAGTTTCAAATTCTCTTATTGTGTATGTTTTTTTGTATCATGTCCCAGAAGCCCTATTCACTCGCACAGTGTTGATTTTATGAAGTATACCAAAATATTTCAATTGGTGTAATCCCTCCATGATATACTGACTTCTAACTTAGTTGTAATCAGAGTACCATCTTCTTTACAAAACAGACACAAACTTGTATTATGTAACGCTTGTTGAAATGTCCCTGTAATGAGTGCATAACCTTGACACAATTCCTGCCTGTTATAACATCTCAAAGGTGACTGTGCCTCTAAATTTTTAAGTCTGGTTTATTTATGCAGGAGTTTGGAGATCATCCAAACATCATCAAACTTCTGAATGTCATCAGAGCCCACAATGACAAAGACATTTATCTCATATTTGAGTATATGGGTGAGTGTTGTTCTGAAATAAAATAGTATATGATTTTGACTATTACATTGGTATAAACATGACATGTTGTGCTATTTAGGTCTTATTAAGTAGTGTAATAATTCCACTCTTTGCACTCTTTTATGGTTTAGCTAGGAGGTAATGCTTCATGGCTTGTTGAGCAATATAGTTTAAGTCTCTTTTAATTTAACTCACACCATTTCCTGCTTACTTCTCTCAATAAGATACTGACCTTCATGCAGTAATAAAGAAAGGCACCCTTTTGAAAGATGTTCATAAGCGTTATGTAATGTACCAGCTCCTCAAAGCCATCAAATTCTTGCACTCAGGAAATGTTATTCACAGAGATCAAAAGGTAAGTCAGTCTGTGTTTTGTTTACAGCCATTATATTCCATGTTTATTCATATTAACTTCATTTCTGTCAATACAATGTCTTAAATAAAGCTGTGCACATATTTTACAGCCTTCTAATGTGCTGCTAGACACTGACTGTATAGTTAAGTTGTGTGACTTTGGCCTGGCCCGATCACTCAATCAAATCCAGGAGGACACTGGGAATCCAGCGCTAACAGAGTATGTTGCCACAAGATGGTACCGAGCTCCAGAAATCCTTCTTGGGTCCACAAGGTATTGTTGAAATCCCCCAAACCAGAAATCTACATTATGAACTGTAATGTGAAGTTTGACTAACTTGCCTTCAGATACACGAAAGGTGTGGACATGTGGAGCCTTGGCTGTATTCTAGGGGAGATGCTTTTGGGGAAAGCACTGTTTCCTGGGACTTCAACAATGAATCAGATAGAAAAGATCATGAGTGCCATACCACACCCCACTCCTGAAGGTAAACAGAGATTATTATATTTTTGCAAAAATGTCATGAATGTAACATTCAGAATGAAACACTTTATTTGCAGATATTCTTGCAATCAAGTCTGAATATGGTTCCTCTGTGATACAGCGTATGTTACTGAAGTAAGAATATATATATATATATATATATATATATATATATATATATATATATATATATATATATATATATATATATATATATAGTGTGATATGCAGTACACCTTAGCAAGATTTATTACTCTGGGTTAAGAGTATAGTGACTGCTCAATACAAAAAAAATATTTTATTTGCCATACAGATACAATTTTCACTGATTTATTCCTTTTGAACCTATTCATCTTGAGCAGACCACAAGTGCCTTTGGAGGACCTTCTCCAGCCCTCTGTCCCTACTGATGCCCTCCACCTACTCAAGGGGCTGCTGGTTTTTAATCCGGACAAGAGGCTGACTGCTGAACAAGCCCTTGAGCACCCCTATGTTGCTAAGTAAGTCAACACAGTGTCATTCTATTAATATGTATATAACATTTGGTCTTATTCAAGACCCATGTATTATCTAATGTGTTTCCTTTCATTTTAATATTTGTGTTGAAAGGTTTCACAATCCAGCCCGAGAACCTTCCCTCAACTATGATGTTATTCTTCCAGTTGATGATGATGTTAGGCTATCTGTCGTTCAATATCGTAACAAGCTCTATGAGGTACAGAAATTAAGAAGACATTGACCTAATGATGCTCAAGTTGCTTTACTAAGGTTGAGTAAAAAAACAGCAATGAAATTAATATAACAAGCATTTTCTTGTTTATATCTTCTTTGCAGATGATACTTGAACAGAGAAATAATCAGGGCATACTAAAACTTGTCTATCCAAAAAGTGAGTCTAAAGTTGATGACACCTGCAACACAAATGGAAAAACCAACAAAGACCTGGTGGAATCCAGTTCCAGTGACACTGGTGAAAATGAAGCACCTAAAGAAACAGAAAAAAATGACAAGATTCCAAAACCTGAGCCGACGACAGAGCCCGAAGCAGAGAGGACAAACCAGTCACTTAGCCCTGCTGTGGGAAAACTTACGTACAACCCAATAACACATGCCCCAAGTATGCTGCCTTTCTGAAACCTTATTGAAGGATATATATATACAAAATGTTTATTGGTCTCTTTATTCCTTTCAGATG